GACGTACCTAAACTACTACTTCTTCGTTTCTTTTCCTTCGTCTCTCGACGAATATATATATATATATATATATATATATATATATATATATGGCCAAAGTATCCTGGACCGGTATATATCGTCATCGCGTCATATCACATTATATCATCGCTAGTTTGTGAGCATAGCGTCGTGGCATCTGTACTCTCCGATTCTCCGATTCTCTCTCCAATTCCCCAGACTTCTTGCTTTAGTCCCGTCACCCCCGCCCGGCGTATTGGCGCCCATGAAAACGCCGTTGCCAAACGCAGAAGAGGAAGGATCGCCGCCCTGCGTGCCCGGATCGAGCGACGACGGCTCGATGTTCGCGGCTGGGTAGGACTGGAAGGCCAGGTCGACCGGGTTGCCGTTCGGGATGTACGAGTCCCAGGCGTCCTATCTCCGGTGTTAGCTTTTGCGGACCCCCTTTTTACAAGGGCCCCCTTCCTACAAAAGGGGGGGGGAAGCAAAAAGAGTTTGTGCGGCGTACCCAGTTGAGATTTCCCGGCACGTCCAACATGCCCATCCCCGATCCCGAGTTGCCAAATACCGAGAACGGCGAGCCGATGCTGTTGTTGTTGTTAATGATGATGTTGCCTCACGGGCTAGAAGCCTCCATGCCGTAGTTCGGCGTGAGTCCCGTTCTATTTAACGATCCCCCCATGTTGGTATCCATACTGGCGTAGCGCGCGTTCCGCTGGGAGATGGCGCCATAGCGTTGAAGATGGCGGCAGAAGAGTTCGGCGTCAGGAATGCTCAGGGGGCATAGCAGCCTTGTTCATCTGCGCGAAGACTTCAGACGTTGTTGTTGTTGGCCTCTCCTCCTCCTCGCTCGTCAGCTTCCTGATGCCGAGGATGCTGCATGCTTTGTACGCCTCCATGGATGACTCGGCGGACTCCTTCCAGATGCCCTGGGACGCCTCGAGGGCGTGGAGCATATCCCCCCGCTGTGCGGGCGTCCAGAAGTGCTTGTTCCAGAAATCTTCTCTCAACATCTCCTCCACCGACGTCAAATCCCTCGATAATATATATGGAGTCTCTCCGTTCACCTTGAACCTTTCCTTTCCTTCAGACCGAACCGCTTGAGCCCCCAGTTTCTCAAGCTCTCGCTACGGCATTAGATTTTCCCCATCCTACTCCATATTCTATTTTCAAGTGTCTTTGATCATAGGTTCACAAAGATATCCATAAGAATAGCAATAAATAAATTGACTAAAAAGCAAAACATGGACGACGAATTGAAGATTCGCGACTGCCTGCCCAGTACCGAGTTGCAGAGCACTGAAAATATAGCTTTTTTGGGGGAGGATAGACAGGCATTGAGTTGAGCAAAGTGCTCCAAGCTGGTGACATACCACTCCAAGCTCAAGGTCGGATGCTGCATTTGAGTTTCGGCTGTATAAGCGAGAAATCGCTTCCAAAAGCTTACTTCGACGTAGTCATAAGCAAGTACTCAGGGACATTTGGATCAACAGATAGATGATACGTCGCTCCAATTATATTCGTTATATGCTTTCCTTGTCATCCCGATCCTGATTCGAATCTTTTCATCTCATCGCTGACTGAACTTTTTGTCGCCGCCACTAATCGGAAAGAGGCCTCTTCCCACGGGACTACGATCTGTAGTTACTGAATTACAGTACATTCATGAGGCATTATCCCAGCAGGCATAGACCCCGTAGTTTAAGTTACAAACATTGTAGATATTAGAGAAGGGGCTGATGGGTCAGACAGGTCAGATGGGATGGTACAGAGCTCAAGAGGAGCAGAGCAGCTGGACTCCTCCTCTCTCCTCCCCGACCTCACCAAGTCAAGTCAAGTCAAGTCAAAAGTCAAGTCAGATCAGGCTTTCTCAAGAATTCATGTGACCCAAAATGCCTTTTATTCCACCTTCATTACCGCCTCCGCCTCTTGGGCTTTCGTAGCCTCGGCCGTGCCAGCGCCGACCAGCCCAACAGCTACGGACGACGCCAATGTCAAAGCTGCCCAGGCCACAGCTCTCGCCTCGATCCCAACCAGCAAGATCAAGGGAACGCCATTCGATCGCCGTGTCTCGATCTGGATCGAAAATACCGGCCATGATATACCTGCCGAAGATTGCAAGTCACATTATCAAACCACGTCAATATGGAAGTATATGCCACCACCAAATAATAAAGTGGCAGCCAACTTTCAACTTTTCGCAAAAGAGGGGATCACGTTGAGCCAAAAGTACGCCGTCACCCACCCTTCCGAGCCCAGCTATATGACAGCTGCGGGAGGGTAAGTCTTGCTGCCAACGACGCCGCCAGGCCGGTGTTTCTGCGAACGGTGCCTAAGCGACTACGGCGGCGCTCACTCTCCTCCTGTTCACCCTCCCACTCCCACTCCCCTAGACACCCCCCCCCAATCCCCTATTTTCAAAGGGTGGCCTCTACCTCTACAATCAATAGCACAGCTTCGGATAATAGAACGCATTAAAATAGCACCATGCTTCTCTTTTCCTTTCTTCTTTTCCTTTTTTTTCTTTTTTTTTTTCTCTCATAAGCCTTTTGCTACCAATCACTGCAAAAGGCCCCTCACTCACCCACTTACAAATCCGGACCATCTCTTTCCGGTACTGTATTTATTCCCCAACCTAGGTGAAAAGTTCTTTATAACAATCATCTTTTCCCGAGGTTTGACGTTGGATATCCTAAAGACCGCCAACGCACTTCTTTTTTCCCCCTTCCCCATTCGCTATGTACTGCCGCTTCATTCAATCTACTCACCTTCCTACCTTCTTACCTTCCTACCTTCTCCCATCCCCACCCCTATCCTTTATTAGGCTCTACCCGGGCTCTAGGCAGGAAGCCATGGCGCAGCATACGTAAAAAGAAGACACATGTAACAGCCATAACGATATTAATCATGTATGCCCCTGAAAATCACCGTATTAGTTAGCTGTTCAGTCTACCTTTTCGATCGAAGGTGATAAAAAAGGGACAGAATCTTGCTTTTTTATTTCATGGTAAAGTACAGTATAGCAGATAGGCCTTAATACGGGAAACATCGGTCCGTAAGCCCTGCCTGACGCAGCTGGCTGACTCATCACGCAAGCAAGCCATCGCAGGTGGAAAAGACCTCAGAAGAAATGGAAAAGAGGCATGATGAGACAAACAAGGGAGTTGTATCTGTACAAGGTTTTTGAGGGAAGACGCCCAAACAAGACGCCACCAAGAAGTATTGTACAAGACCATTGTACAAGCGAAGCCAAGCTTTTATCCCATCCAAGAAGAGACTGCATACCCACGTGCCGATGCCAAGACTCAAGAGAAAGAGATAGTGAAATGTAAAATAGCGCCCCACCCCAAGTGTCACGTATTGTACAGATAGAAAGAACGGAAAAAATGTTTTTTCAAACGGAACCCCTCAATGTGGCCTCCACCTACTAATACCTAATATGCTGCGGCGGAGGTGCTGGATGACGGGGATCGTATTCTTCCTCGTAGAACGGAGGTTCTGCACGCGAAGCAGCAGGTGGGTGAGCACGACTCTCGTATACCGGCGGTCGACCATAAACGTCGTCTTGGAAAGCAGCGTAGACGGGTTCGGGCTCGCGGCGAACTGGTCTGCGAATCATGTAATCTCCTTGTGGATCCGAGACCCTGACATATTCAAAGGCCTCTGTATATTGAGGTTCGCGTGGTCGAGGTTCATCGGCGTAAACACGATAGTATTCCTGGCGAGGTGGCCTCTCGAACACGGCATCTTCGGTACCTTGATGAGGTGTTCGTGAGCGGTAGACTGGCTCCGGGCGCAGGGCATGAGCAGGGTGTGGTCCCGGACTCATCTCTCTGTACTGTCCAGGATGTGTGCCGACCTTATAGTATACTGGCGACCTCGATCGGGCGCGATCGTTCTCTAGCCGGACACTCGCGTACCGGGCATACCTGCTTGGTGTTCGATGAGTGCCTTGACCGTTTTGTTTCTCGTCACGATAGATGACGTTGTTCAGTTTGTAACGTCGATCAACCAGCTCAGGAGATCGGCCTCGGCTTCCTTCAGGCTCAGGAGCTGTGCTGACGTGACGCTCTTCGAAAGTCTGTGTCCGCAAGGTTCTCGGAGCTGGAGCACGCTCATGAACGATGTACCCCCCAAAGTTCTCATCAGGATTTACGAAGCGCCTCCTATCCGAGTGGCCACGATAATCTTCCTCAAAACCTTCACGTAATTGCCTTGGCGGCCCAGCAGGTGCCCGATACACTCTTGCGCCCTCACCTCGTCCATCATCCCACTCTGGCCGTCGTTCGTCCTTACGCCAAGCTGGATCGACGTGTTTCATAGTTTCAGCTGAGAACTCGCCCGATCGAAGTTGCTCCAAAAATCGATCGGCTGCGTTGCTAGCCTCTTCGGACTGCAGATTTGGAGCTCTCGCGGCCTTTGGATCATCATCGGCGCGCAACTCACCATCTTCGGATCCGCCATCGGCCTCCTCTTTGGTAGGTTGCTGCTCTCGAACCCGCTGCGCTTGTTGAGAAATTTGTGCAACGACATCATGAATCCTGCTCTGTTGGGGAGTGGCAGCATTATTTGGCCTTGATTGGGTTGCTTCGGGTGCATGAATAGCGGGTGGCGGTTGCTCACGTCCATTGGAATAGAAAGATCTTGTATTCAAAGATCGGTAGTCTCTCTCTGGATGAACCATTCTTGGCTCTTCGTAAGTTGAAACGTGAGGTTCTCGTCGAGCATGATATTCAAGATCCGGTGCATCGTGATATCGAACGCGTCTCTCCACTAGTACCGGTGAATCATCACGCGAAATGACACGAGCATAGCCTGGCGCTGGAATCGGTTGAGAAGCCGAAGAGGGTCTTGGCTCATTGATCGATCGATCAGGCTGATTTCCGTAAGGCTCCCCGGGTAATTCGTTGTCATAAAGCTGGTAGCTAGAGACAGGCCGCTCAGCTCTTGGCAGCTCCTGCCCTAGAGGTTGTCGGCTTTGCTTCGGGGGCGCGTACTGTGGTCTTGGCTCCACCAGAAGCTCACCTGGGTTTCTGGGATCATACTCGCCATTGTCAAAGACGTTTGCCTTTCTCAAAGAGATATTTTTGGCGGCAGTGTAATAATTGTCGTGGTTGTCTTGGGAAGAAGCCTTTAAAGGATATTCGCTTGGAGGGTCGTTTTTTCGGTGCAAATCGGTTGCCGGGGAGTCAGGAACTCGAATGATCGTTGGCACCGCTTCCGTAAAAAGTGCGAGTCTTTTGTCATTCATCCCGGGAGCATTGACCACCGCTCTTAACTTAGCAAGATCAGGAAGAACAACCATATCCTTGGTCCAGTCAGGAACCTGCCCGTAGTTGCTCCTAGCAGCTCCTAATTCATGGACGGAATGAAAATGATTGACAAGCTGGGGGAAAGAGAAATGCTTCTTCTGTGGAGCGGACGTGGATCCCGCCATAGCCAGAGTGCATGCTTTACAAAGCAATCCATTTATGTTGCGGACTGGGCGCATATCCTTGTTGCTGGTCAATCCATCAACCATCATCGAGAGTGGCGGCTCCTCCTGGTAAGACTCGCGGAAGCGCTTTAGCACATGATAGATGATGGTGTAAACTTTGAGATTTCCTGGGATTTCTTTGATGCTTCCAATGGAGTTCCAAATCTCGCGAGCGTTCCGTGCCAGATCTTGAAGCTGGGCCATATACTGTTCGGTCTTCTGGGGTGGTTGAGCAAACTCATTCGTGGGATATGTCGGCTGCTGATTGTATGATCTATATTGGCTGGACGCGGAGTCATAAGACGCTTGCTGTCCTGGAACTTCAAGGGCTGCAGATGGGTACATTATTCCAGGATTGGAAGATGCGTAAATATCCTGCTGAGGTGGTTGATACTGTGTTCCATACCCATTTTGTGAATAGTCTTGGGGAGCATCGTTGTACCCCGGGACACCAGACGGCTGAGGCGCAACTGAATACTGTGGGGGTTGATACACTTGAGGAGGGTCTTGGTATGGCTGAGGAGGCGGGGCATAAGGTCCATTCTGTTGTCCAGAGTACTGGTCGCCGAAATTCGGATGACCGTAGTAAGGACCCGGACTCTCCTGATAGACATGCGGATTGGCACCCGGCATCGGAGTAGAGACTGGAGGAGGATACCCACCATATCCATAATTTTGTGGCATAGAAGAGCCGGTGCTTGTGTATGGAATGCTGGCACTTGGTGCAGCTGGATAGTATTTCGCAGCAGCGCTGTTTGGATTCGGACTGAATGGAGGTATCTCCGGCCATTCAGATTTCCAATGGACAACGACACTTCCAACACTTAGTGCGCTGGTGTGCTTGGCTGCATAATGTTGAATAACACCTTCAAAGCCGTAATACTTATTGGCATACTCGCATGCGTTGCAAAGAAAAAGCTCCTTACGGTATTGCTCGGTGCGTGGCTTGATCTTGGTGTCGAAAACCCACTTCATGTTCTCCAAGATGAGCTTGCGAGTGAAAGGTCCGTTGAGTGGCTCCGTTTCAGGCTCTCTTCCAGTGGCTCGAACATCTGCTTCTTCCTTGGAAACTTCGTCAAAGAATCTCTTGCGAACATAGATCAAAACTTCTGCGGCAAACAAGGGACTTGTTTCGTAGGTTACCTTTTCACCTCCATTCCAGCCGTCACGAATCATCTCATCAGCATAAGCAGCTATGCGGGCTCGCAAAGGGGCTTGAACGTTATCCCACTCCGTTTCGGCCAAATCCTTGGAGCCCGACCTGGATTGCAAGTCTTGAAAGCGACGTTCGTCGGAACGCTTTTGAGCCACTCGGGTCTGAGCAAGTCGCTCATTTTCTCGCTGTTCGGCATCCTCACGCTGGAAAAGGAGTCTCGGCTTCAATACTTCCCAGGAGCTATCCACCAAGGGTTGGATAATCTGAATGGCAGCCTGAAATGATGGCATGTGAGCTAGGACTGCAGGTGTTATAGGGGGCTCAAGAAGTAAGCAACGTCTTTCGATTTCAGCTCTGCGCGCTGCTTTCAGTTCAGCAACCTCCTCTTTGGTTCTCTCGTGTTTAGCTTGAGACTGAGGACGTGGAGTGAAATGTGCAAATCCATTTTGTGCGGGCGAATCGAATCGAGCAGGGGGTTTTTTCACTACACACAATCATTCGATGATTAACAACCAAAAGCAACCTACCGAACGAGCGGGACATCCAGCAAGCAACAGTAGGACTTACCAAAGCCATTCTGCACAGGGTGCGGTAAATGAGATGGATGTCGTGTCGCGAAGCTCGGAATTGGACCAGGGTGTGCTGGAAAATTGCTGACGTTTTTCGGCTGTGTGATCGGAGGAGGGCAAGGATTTGTCGGCTGCTGTGGGTGTATATCACGAAGTCGTTCCATCCCCCCTCCCAGCTCCCATCTTTCCCAGCGAGCTGCATCGTTTCTTCGTTCCTTGCCACGACCATCTAAACCCTTCAACCATTCCTCAGCAGTGGCAGATCCCATGGCTTTTACATCTTCGAATTCCCTTTTGATTTCATCGACGTGGACTTTGAAGAAGAATTTCGTGATCTGAATAGAAGGAGGGTGCTGTCCACTTTGGAGAGTCGCTGCCGACAGGAGATGAAGTTCATTTGTGAGAAAAACAAACGGTAGTGCAGCCATCAGTGGCGATGGTATGGTGGAGGAGAGCAGCAAGTCGATTTCCTAGAAAAATTAGTTGTGCTAAAAAGACTCTGAGAAGAAAAATACAAACCTTTGTAGAGTGTTCTTGGAGGCACGAGCCACAGGCACGAATACCAAATAACCAGACGGGAGCGACCCCACTCTCACCTGGGCCAGGATGCCATTGATCCATAGGAGATGGGGGGCCTTCTCCAATCTTGTTACAGAATTGGCATGCAGAACCACATAAAAGTTTCCACATGGCCAGTTCAGATTTTCCAGCGAGAGGTGCAGGTAAACCACGTTGTACGAAAGCTTGCCTGGATGCACGCCATATACTGTCAGGGGCCAACAAATGAAGCGCGGATGTCGAAAGTGGCTTGATAGATAAACCTGTCGCAGATGGATCAAGGTAGGTATTGAAGGATTTGTTGACTTGCAACAACCGACCTAGACCTCTTGGAGGGCAAAAAGAAAATATATGGTGCCATATTTCCGCAGGCAGAAGTGACTTGTTACCCAGCAGACGGCCATCAGGAGTCCGGTAGCATTGGGGCTCATTGTCAACTCTGTAGCGCTTCCGGACATCGTTGGCCATCCCATTCCTAGATTGTCCGTCTGGGGGCTTGCAAGAGTCGGAAAACTTCCTCTTCCTGGATGCTTCCGAATTCTGCTTGGATATCTCCCATTCTGTTGCTTGTTCCGTGGTCTGTGGAGTCGGGTTCGTAGGTAGAGAGGATGGAGTGGGGTCGGCCTCTTGCTCGTCGTCGGTCTCAGCAGACATGGAAATATCTGAGTCGGAATCGTCCGTGCCAAGAGCGGTAGTCATGCCTTCTGTCTCACTCATCTTCCAAAGGTTCTGCGCACTGGAATCCGCAGATATTGAGTCTGCCGATGAGGATGAATCTGAAGTGTCGGTAGAGATGTCGCTTTCTGAGGAATCCATGGCGAGGTGAGGGGAGGGGTCCAAACTAAGGGCGATGGAAGCAGTTAGAGTGTCACGGAGAAACAAACTCTTGAGCAGTGCCGATAGTGTAGAGCAAAAGAACTAGCGAACCTGACAGTTGTATGGAGATCAAGGACCAGGATACAACGGACCAAATAAGACAACGTGTCAGGGCCAGGCCGGCAGGTAACGGAGGCTGTTGAGTCTGCAGAAAGAAAGGACACTGGATCATGTCATATCATGACCTTGCTCAAACCAGCTCTGCACAACGCAATGCAGTGTAGTGCTGCGAGCGACACCGAACTGCGCAGGCAGAGTGGCAAGGGAGAGATGTTAAATGATTTGGGTAATGAGTTCCAAGCATAGACTGGAGCTGTTGCTATGCGAAGGGAGATGAAATGGGAGAGAGGAGAAGCAGAAAGGAGAAAGTGATCTTGACGATGACGATGACGATGACGGTGACGGTGACGGAGAAATGCCAAAATAAAATAATAACAAGGAACAGAAAAAGAGAAAGCTATTAAAGGGAGACAGCAGCGTACCGACGGTCTTATGTAGGGAAGATAGACGCAGGGCGGGCGAGTGGGCGCATGCGGTGGAAGAAGGCATGGGAATAGAAAAGGGGATGAAGAGAGGCCATTCGAATCTTGAGGTACAGTGGTTGGCCCGCCCTAGGATTTGATTGTCTAGCATTGATTCTTGGCACTCTAGACCGCTTTTGGTGCTATGCTTCGTCATTCTGGGGCCCAGTCTTCTGCAACAACATTACGAAGTATTCCCCCAGCACAGCACACTGTCTTCCTCCTAACTTCTCTCCCATTCCAATACAGACATCGGCCCTCCTCCGCCCTGTCCTACCCCATCATGGCCTCCCTCAATACCTCTACCAACGGCCCTTCCATCAAATCCTCCTATCAGGGCGTTGTCAATTCCTCAGCGCCGTCAGGACCCCAGGCCAACTCACCCACCTACGGCCAGTGGGCCATTTTCTCCGTCTCTGCCCCTCTAGTCAACGCCTTTCAGCCAGACAGTGGAGGAAAGGAGAGCATCTTGAAGGTGCAAAGTACCGGAGGCATGTTTACATACCTCTATCCTTCCCCGGACCCTGTGCTTCCGTTCATGCTGACTGGTGGCGTAGAGGGGGAGCTTATTGACTTGATCGAAGACCTCTCTGAAGGACGAGTCCAGTTCGCATTTGTCAAAGTCAAGGACCCGAATACAACCCTCCCGAAATTCGTCTTGATCGCATGGGTCAGTGCTGCTGCTGATTGTACGGCTGGTTATCTCATTCGGGGCTGACGGGTTACAGTGCGGAGAGGGCGTGCCGGAGAGAACCAAGGGCTACTTTACGAGCCATCTTGCAGCAGTCTCGAAGATTCTCCATGTTCGTGGCTACGAGGTCCTGCTGGGGAAGTCACACTAATCGAAGGTGTAGGGTTACCATGTACAAATTACCGCCAGATCCGATCGCGACCTCACCCCTGAAAGCATAGTCCAAAAAGTATCCGACGCGTCTGGCGCAAAGTACTCACATAGCAGCGCTGCTCCTCCCCCATCCTCCGCTGGCCCACCACCGCCTGCAAATAAGCCAGTCTTCAATCCTACACGATCCAGCGGAAACTCGGGCTTCAACCCTCTTGGCTCTCGGGTAAGACCTGGTCACAATGACACAAACGTAGACAGTGATGGATGGGGTGCAGATGCCCCCCCCGTTACAAGATCGCAACTTGAGAAGGTGGAATCTGCTTACAAGCCAACCAAGGTCAGTATGGCGGAGTTAACTAAGCAAAATCCGGATGCTACTCGTTCCAGTAACGGCCGGGCCAATGACAGTGGAGACGTCGTCAAAGGAGCCTACCAACCAGTTGGAAAGGTCGACATTGCTGCAATTCGCGCCCAGGCGCAGAAAAAGGACGACGACCGCCCAACGATCGTGAAAGGTGCATATGAACCGGTTGGAAAGGTGGATATTGCGGCTATAAAAGCCAGAGCCCAGAAGCCTTCAGACAATGCATCATCTGCCAGCAATGCTAGTGACGAGCCTAAATCTCTCGCGGACAGGTCCGCCGCCTTTTCACAATCCGAGAGGTTGACATCCATGCCCAAGCCCAAGGTCGCCAACAGATTTGGATCGAATTCGTCCAACTTCACTGGCACTAAAGCACCGACTCCTGGTGTGTTTGGTCTCCAGTCAGCTCCAGTGAACGCTACCCCACCTCCGGTTGGCGCGGCGAGTAGAACTTTCGCCGACGAGGGCGGAAAGACCCCGGCCCAGATCTGGGCCGAGAAGAAGGCAAGACAGAGAGGTTTGAGTGGTGCGGGTGACGCCCCCCCCACAAGCATGAACTCGCCCATTGCGAGCCAAATGAGTGGTGGCGGAGAATGGAAGAGTGGATATGCGGGGAAGAGTTGGGCTCCAGTGGCCACCAACCCAACTGGTAGATCTGGGACTGGCAGCATTGGCCAGCAAAGAACAGGCGAGCAAGAGCACGAGCAAGAAGCTCCATCTTCGCCAGCCGGGGGCATCAGTGCTATTCGTGATCGATTCCAAGGTGGAGGAGCACCGATGGGCGCACCCGTCATCCCAAGATCGACCACCGGAGATCAATTATCACCACCGCCTCCCATCAACAACTCTACGAGACCCGGTGGTGTGGCTATGCCAGGCCTCCCCTCTCGGTCACGTCCAGACGAGGAAGAGGAGCACGGTGGTCGTAATATCCCACCTCCTCCCCGCGTCCAACGCAGCCCCACACCACCTACCCCTGAGCGCGAAAGCTCTCCGGTCCGCATTGCTATGCCCGTCGCCCGCTCCAAAGAATCCGAGATGCACGCGCCTGCTGAACTAAGTCCACCTCGCACTCTCCCCGCAAGCTTAGAGCGCAACGTTAAAACCGACGCTCAAGACAGCCGCGAACCGGAAGGTCACGATGCTGCCCGAACTGCAGGCGTAGCAGTAGCAGCAGCTACCTTTGGAGCCGTGGCCGTCGCAGGCGTGAACCAAGACTCGAAAGCCAGTTGTAAGCGAGCTTTGATCGCATACGACTACGAGAAGGCCGAAGACAACGAGCTGGAGCTAGTCGAAGGCGAATATGTTACTAATATTGAGATGGTGGACGATGACTGGTGGATGGGCACGAATTGCAAGGGCGAGAGTGGTTTATTCCCTAGCAATTACGTGGAGCTTGTAGAGGACGAAGGAGAGGAAGAAGCGCAAGCTCCTCTCGCACCACCTGCGCCCGCGACAGGTTCAGGCCCTACAGCCACGGCTTCAGGCCCTACAGCCACGGCTTCAGGCCCTACAGCCACGGCTTCAGGCCCCACAGCC